TCAGTTGCAGATCACGTAAATATTTTGTCAAAAATTGGACATTAAAGGCGCCAAAACTAAGAGCTGGTAAATTTTTTATCCATGTTTGTGAGTAGAAAAGAATAGCAGTTTTGATTAACAGGTTTATTTAGGTATAATGTATGAAAGGTTTTAATGTAATTTTGTAACCTTTATTATAATTGATTTAAGCATATGCCTTAGCCACCGTAACTTGAGAATGAGTGTAATATACGATCATATACACATATATATATGTCTCTCAGTGGCTAGACTGAGGACACATTAACGGGGGTCTCATTGGGGGTGTCTGATCCCGGATCCCGCTTACTGTTTTGTCAGATTCCCGTATCCCGTTTACACTATGTACGTAAGCAATTCTCATTTTTTTGTAATTTCCCGTATCCCGCTAGACTTCATTTCCCGTTTTCACGCCACAATAATTTGACTTTCACGTGTCACGCTTACAAAAAATCGGCAATCCCGCGTCACGCTTAGACCCCAATGAGACCCACATTAACTCTGAGCTGAGACTAACCTGAGACTAGTAATGGACTTCTGGTTATAGTAGTCTCAGCTCTGGGGCATACAAGGACTCACTCGTTATCGGATTTACTTTTTCAAACTTATATCATTCAGTGTAATTTTTAAAGGTTTCTATTGTGTTTGTATACATCTGTTTCACCTAATTCTACTAGATTTGTGGCAAAACGTGTTCTGTTTTCTTTCAAAAATGATTTCAACTTTGCTTTTTCTAGTTCTGTTAAGTCAGATTGTGACAAATCAAATTCTAGGTCAGATTCCGAGACCTTACTTGGCATATGGTGTGTTTACTGATGAAACAGATCGGGAGAGCTTTCATCAAAGTTCTGTATGAGCTCAGTATTGACTTGTTCTACTTTTGCAATTTTCTTGTGTGCCCTTAACCTTACATTTTTGTCAGTTGGGTTAAGTAAACTAATGTATTCTTTACCGTTTTTAACAGTTACCAATGACTTTGCTGCTAGTATGTTTAGATGCTCTATATTTGGAAGTGGCTCTAAAAGTACAGTTGAACCTGGTTTTTGGTGTGATACAGATACACTTATTAAAAACGGTTTGAGAAAATTTTGGTATTATTACTGCCTTAAGTGTTCTTACTAAACCTTCACTTATACTAAGTTTACTTATTGTCTAAATTTCTAAAGTATTGTTGTCAAAATTTAATTTTGCTTTGTTGTTTTTCAAAAAACAACACCTAGTATTAAAGAGTGGTGTAATTGTGGTAAAACATGCACTATAGTTTTGAATTTTCTATCTCCTATTGTACTGAATTAGAATGTCTAATTTACCAGTATCTACACATACCCAACATTTTTTAATTTGGTAACTATAACTAAAACTTTAACATGTTCGCCATTAACAGCTATTACACTTCTAAAAAAAATTAAAACCTAAAAGTCTGCCGGCATGGCTAGCTAGTTAGCAGTGAATTGAATAATACTGTCAATGGGACTATCCTTCGATGTCAAGTAACTTGGAACTGATAATACATTTTACTGAGTACTGGAATTGAGTACGGACTTTAAGATAATGAGTACTAATGAGTTCACTTATTGATGAGTACTAACTTGTACGATTACATACTTGTGCAATATAAAGTGATATGAACTAAAATCTCAAATCATTAAACTTAATTTGAATGATAAAAAACTTGTCTTAATTAACGCATGAATACTACATGTACTATGAGCAAAACTAGTTTTTTAAACCTTTAAACAAAATGCTTAAGATTAATGTTAATTTTGATTGGACAAACCTGAAACAGTCTCCAAATTCGAATCTAAAAAGTTATTTCTAATAAGCGTCACTTTTACATGCGCTCTTTGGAAATAAAGACATAAAACCGTATTTCAAGTTTTATTAAATATTGTTTCAGGTAAGCAAAGTTAATTTTATTTTGTTAAATATAAAATTCTCCAAATTATTTAGGAATGTTAGACATCAGCGTAAACTAAATACACATTATCGCTATTTAACATTCTATAAAAGTTGTATTGTGAATGAATTATGAAAGCTTTTCAGATGTTCCTTATGTATAGAATAAGAGAAGTGGTATTATTGCCAACGAGACAACTATCCACCCGAGTCCAAAATTACGGTGGATGTAAGGAACCACAGATGACCGTACGACCATCAATAATGAGAAAAACCCATGCATACCGTATTGCCAGATGTAAAAGGTGCGACACAAAGGTGTGAAATATTTCAAACGAGAAAACCAACGGCCTGACTTATAATAAAACAATAAACGAAAAAACAAATATGACAGACAGAAACCTACGAAAACCACTGTATTGCAGGCGCGAGACATGAGGCATGAGGCAGGCACATACAGAATGGGGTGGGGTTAACCGGACACGTTATAATATGTGGATTTATCAGTCAAGTAAAGAGGTTGTTTAGAGTGGGTAATACGAAATTAGAAAGTCTATATTTTGAATAATACCCTTTTCGTGAGGACCAATGTGATTTATTTAAAAAGCTACAAGAAAGATAATTCAGGCAAGAAATGCTTATATATGATATTCCTTCTAGCCAAGCTTAAATCTATACACTCCTATAAAGAGTTAATTGATAGTTTCGATCTTATTGGCATTTTAGTAGATATTGAATTATTAATCATTGTTGCTGTTTGGTTTTTTTTTTTGGTATCTAAAATAACTTATAAGAAAATATATGCTGAAATGCAAAATTGGTTCAAAAATGTCCGGCGTCATTTAAGGGTAATAACTCCAATGAAATCAGAGGATGCAATTTATGGTCTAGGTCGTCTTTCATTTTTGTATACACGCTGTCGTGGTGATGATTTTCATTTTGTACTATTTTTTGTCTCTATATATAATATATCATGTAACCATTCAAGATTATAAGCAATAGTATAAATATGATATACAGTAACAACCACTCATCAGAATTACAGTCTGCCGACATTGGGACAGTTACCGACAGAATGTGACAGGGTTAAACATGTTTGCAGTAGCCCAACCCTCCCCTAACCAGGGATAGCGGTGCAACAGCACAACAAAAGAACAAATTATAAAAATCATTTGAAGAGGGCTTGATTCATCAAAATGATACAAAACAGAATACACAACCAATAAGATTACTAAACACACAAAGTACAAATCTGAGAGTTTCTGAAAGCTATTTTCAAGCAATAAAAAAAATTATGTATTAGAGACAAACTTGATATTAATCAGTAAACATCAAAGGGATTTATAGTGTAAAGACGTCATAAACATGCAGTCTAGGAAAACACGACCTTGTGCAATGCCAAAATATAAGTATCGGTAGGATGTAGAACCGTTTATAACTGTATATCAATACATATTTATCTATGTTTTTTAAAATTTGTTGATAATTAAGAAAATCAATATTAGAATAGATGAAAATACTATTCCAAGATCTAATTGCAATGTTAAACTGATAACCTCTGAAAATAAGTTTATTAAGCAAGTTTATTTAAAGGATCGATAAGCTTACAATAGATTTTATCTAAATTTGCGGGCCCGAAAAAAAACATCACCATAAATTTTAGGATGTTATATCCCGTTATTTATAAGTTTGCTACAGGTACAACCAAACTTCCAAACTAAATCTTTGTATCTATACGAGACTATTTGGTAAAGGTTTTAAGTAATTTTAAGTGTGGTAATAACGAGATCCTTGACTTAATAATTTACCATGCAGTGATACACATATTACGTTAATTTAAATCTATAACGTAACTTTAGGCACTGGCATAGCGAACGAGTTGGGATATATAAACACCGTAGGAACATCACCGTCCAGTCTTGCAAAGGAAAATTAACACCAGGGAACGACAACTCGTCTCTTTTGTCGTACATTTTAGTCTATAGTTCCCGATGAGCTAGATTATCTATTAGTATATAGTTTCCGGTGTGAAACTAGATTATCTATTAGTATATAATTACATTACATGTATGTTTGACGAGAATCCGTTAGTTTGATTGGCTAACAACAATCGCGCGTCATTCAAAAGTGAACCTTCATATCAAAATGAAATGTTACAATTTCGTGATGACACGTGCTTCCACAAAAAAGTGTACAGGTAATAAATAAAAGAAAAACTTGATAAAAAAAAATGTTCATGGTCTTATTAGCATAAAAATGTAATCATAAGAAATGAATGCTTCTTTTTGTAATTTTATTGGGGTGTAAAAGTGTTGATCGTGCACACATTTTTAGAATGAAGCGCGAAAGCTTCATACAAAATGTGCTTCGGTCAACACTTTTACACCCCAATAAAATTACAAAAAAGAAGCATTCATTTCTTAAATAGTTTCCGGTGTGAAACTAAATTATCTAAGGACAGTTATTACTGTTTATATAAGCTGTATTTCAAGTAAGTTCCTTTGGATAAATTTCGGCAGTATATTCAGAGGATTCTCAAGTATATTTGACCTACGGTCATAATGACAGATAATCGGTACCAAATATAAGATGACACAGAACAATCAATATCATAAATATAAGATGTTTAAAAATCATTTGAATTGTTCTCTTGTGTATATCAAACTCGGAAAGGTAGAACAGGAAATTTGATATCGTTTATAAGTTAAGGTCCACCTAACAATAAACAATTTACATGGTAAATCTTCTTTTTTTCATGTTAATATTACATTATAACGTTTTCTCCTCAGTTTTCAATATTTTTTTATATTCACTAGTATGTTTTTTGTGTTGAATTTGTTTACAATAAGACCTGACAAACGCGTATGGAAAAACAGATTTTTTTAAGAATTTTGAACAACTTGCTGCTATTGAAAACTGGATAAAAAGGTATACAATGAAAAGGGAGACAAAGCTGTTGGTCACCTCAGTTGGATCAAACAAATGTTTTGGTCACCAATACAAATCATTCATTTGGTCAATAAAATGTTTTTAACCTTGAACATATGCATTTATACTAAATAGACAAAAAATCACTATTTGTTTACCTGTGATATATTCCTGCAAATCGCATGGTATTACTAACTGATCTTTGTCCAAAATACGTATTACATTGCAACTTTTGTTTCGACGTGAAACTCTCATGAATGGACAAATTTCCACGAAAATAGTATTTCGAAACAGTTCTGTTAAACACATTATCAAACTATACTATTTCCTTAAACAAACATGTACAACTAATGCATTTATTTACCACATAAGGCACTATATATATATACGGGTAATATTACACAAGAAAATTACCACATTTGTATTTAGAATGATCCTATATTCAAATTGAACAGCAGTCTTTAAAATGTTATTATTAATAATTCTTAAAATAAACATGGTCTGTTCTTAATCTGATTTAAAGTTTCTTAAATGTTTGTATTTTCTTCAAATTACATTTTATTATCCAGGTAAAAATCTAAACAAATAAGTAAACCCATTATCTCATCTGTAATACAAGGGAAAATGAATCTAACATGAGACAGATTTCATTAGAACCCTTTGCCATGTGAACTGAAAGTGAATCGTTATTACATTGCCTCACGCATCAACAGAAACAATTTTTTTTTACAACTTAATGAATGTTTTAGATTAGATTCGTCCACAATGTAGGTCTTTAAAACCCTTGAACCCAAAATGAAGTATAATCTTGTTTTCGGTAAAAGTTTTCATTTTTAAGAAAACAGGTATTACAGCAAAAGTGTATTAACTACAGGCATTATACAATAAGGAGATATGGTATGATCGCCAATGAGACAATTTTCCATCAAAGACCAAATGATGTTTATGTTGGATTACTGGCATTGCTATATTTAAGATCTCCCGATTACCATTTAAGTATAAGCTGCTTTCTCCAAAAGATATTTTGTCACCAAATGCCTTATTCAATAGAACATCATCATATACGTTACATATTCATTTTGCTCCTACGACAAAATGCCGGGGACATATTGTTTAACCCTGTCCGTCCTATACAGGGTATATGATTTATACAGTTAATTCCTCGGGACTACAGTTGTCAAGCTAGAACTTCTATATTATGTACCTGGTGTTAGTACATATACTAAAGGTGTGCATATTGTCAGGATTTTGGTTTTTCTTTGAAAACAAATGACAGGTGGCTGAACTTTCGCATTTTGGTAATGTAAGATGTACGGTACATGTTTGGTAATGTAAGATGCACGGTACATGTTTGGTAATGTAAGATGCACGGTACATGTTTGGTAATGTAAGATGTACGGTACATGTTTGGTAATGTAAGATGTACGGTACATGTTTGGTAATGTAAGATGCACGGTACATGTTTGGTAATGTAAGATGCACGGTACATGTTTGGTAATGTAAGATGCACGGTACACGTTTGGTAATGTAAGATGCACGGTACACGTTTGGTAATGTAAGATGCACGGTACACGTTTGGTAATGTAAGATGCACGGTACACGTTTGGTAATGTAAGAAGCACGGTACATGTTTGGTAATGTAAGATGCACGGTACATGTTTGGTAATGTAAGATGCACGGTACATGTTTGGTAATGTAAGATGCACGGTACATGCATGTTTGGTAATGTAAGATGCACGGTACATGCATGTTTGGTAATGTAAGATGCACGGTACATGTTTGGTAATGTAAGATGCACGGTACATGCATGTTTGGTAATGTAAGATGCACGGTACATGCATGTTTGGTAATGTAAGATGCACGGTACATGTTTTTCCAGCATACTCATCCTACAGTTTTCAAGCTTGATCTTTTATATAGCGCTGAGTTATTTTACATATAAAGAGGGTGCATATTCTCAAGGTTTTTGTATTGGCAGATTTTAAACCATTTTTGAGAACGAAAATGTCTCTTCCAAACATATAATCCAATTATCCGGGGAAAGGTTCTTTCGCGAAACCTATATGTTAAAAGGCCGCCAGTAGTGGATTGAATATCAATTTAGTTAAAATGTCGTTTGAGAGAGCTGGAGTGATCTGCATTAAAAGCATATTGTGTGACATTAATTCAACTGGAAACTTCGAGTTACCTATCAAAGAATATAATTAATCGTGTGGGCAACTATCTGTCAAAGAAAAATTAAATCAAATTGTATAATAATGTTTATAAACGTGTCAATTTAACAGTTTCCATTCAAGTATTTAATATACCAACTCCAGTGCATTGTTTCATTATTCCCGAAAGGGCGCAACACCTCTGCGTAAAGATAATGTTCTGCATGTATACAGTAACGTCACGCGTTTTATGTCAAATTTTAAGCGTATCGATCAACTTGAAAACAATTTATCTAACAATCAAGGATGGTGACATATATTGTTTTATGCATGTATGGATTCAGTATACAATATACAAGCCTATATACTATGTTGGTTGTTAGTGCTTCTTCGTATATAAGAACATAGCCATCCATTGACAACTCTAAAATAAATAAGTTAAAAAAAGGCATTTTCCCTATATATCCCATGTAAAACTGACATTTACATATCAAAATTACAGAAAAACATTAATGATGACCCCCATTTTTTATTTCATAATATTCCGATGTTACTAAAATCAAAGAACAAGTGTGCCAAAAGTTTTAGTCATCGGGTGATATGCCATTTGGTATCGTGTTACCTTAAATTAAAGTAAAGGCACATTTACCTTGTGGATTAAAAAGCATCTTACGATTTCAGTACATCACATGTTTTAAAATGAATTAGAATTTAAATGAACATAATATTTTCATTATTAAAATTATTTTACAACAATGATACATATAAATATATATCATAAAATAGGTCCAACTTTTTATGAGTTATTATTACAAAGACCGAAATTTATATGACTCCACCTGCAAGAATTTAACAAAAAGTGAAATATTTACGAAGATGTCATTTATAAAGCTAAAAAGTCAAGGAAATGTCCTCCAAATAAATTCCTTTTGCTTGATAAACTTATTTATAAAGTTATGATTATACTGTTGACTGCATAGTATTTTCAGAGATCAGCATAACTTCGCTAATTTAGTTTAAAGCAATGCTAAATATGCCTGCATTGAAATTCTGTACACTTTGTTATAGTTTTTGCAAAATATTGTGTTTTTAAAATGCACTGTTTATGACGCTGTTGTATGAAATCTTAAATGAAGTACAGCAGTATTGATATACCTGTCCAAAGTCTGGAACCTCGTCATAGGTTGTTTTATGTCATGTCTTATTTTAATCGTTATTTGAATAATTTGATGTTAATGGTAGATCATTTGATAGTTTGTTACATTTATTTACAACGTTTGCAGATGTAGGAGGATTTACTCGAGCTGGACACATTTTATAGACCATTGTCTGTTGATAAAGACTGTATGTTGCCCTCTAGATGTGGTTTGCCTAGATTTGTCGTTTGGTTGTTACACCTCTCATTGATGTATATCCTACATCTTATGCTGCTCAAGAAAAAAAAAAGAAACCATATGCAACATGGTATTATATGTCTCTTTAGACTCGAGTCAAAAACGTTCAGAATAGATCCACAGTATCACTGCTTCGTGTACTTTCGGGTTTAAACAATGTTATGACTTACTTGTAAACAAATGATCAAATTAAAAATGCTTAAAGATAGCCTTATACTACAATTTTGATATTTTGTGCCAATTAACAGTATTTATCCAAATAGTTTAGAAGGACAATCTTAACCAATACCAACTATTATAAACTATGATTTAATTAATATTCGATACAAAATTCACTACTTTTGATAAAAGATGCTTTCGATAGAAAATTTTACACAACACGTAAAAGAAGTTGGACCAATCTTAGTTAAAAATTTGTATCATTTTCACGCAAAGGGTTAAAATCTGCAAGATGTCAAAACTTCACTGATTTAGGAATATAAAGCCTCTATTTGATAAACTTTAACATTGATGAACGTTTTATATATTTCCTTAAAATCAAAATGCTATTCAGCGCTTTATGTTACTGTATTTTTGTTGTTTTTGCTTCTTCATCAAATCATACATTGAAAGACATCTTTACACTTAGTGTATGCATTGTATCTGAAATACAACATAAACAAATACTTCAAGTAGAAAATTGATTCTGTTTAAAAATGTTTTTCTTTCGCTTAATTTGGTGACATGTCCAGAAATAAGACTCAAAATTGCTACCATTAAAAAAAAACATTTGCTTAAAAAATTGAAAGACTTTAAGTAAAGGCTCTAGTACGGTCTCATTTGAAACATTTTGTTTTGAACAATCGTTTCGTTGTTGTGTCAAAATTATCTTCTACAGAAATGTATACGTATAGCTTCACGTGAACATTGGTGTACAGTGAAAATTTGTTTAAATGATCAGCTCTGAATAAATGATTTTAAGGATTATATATATATATATAAGTTTTGAAATGTTTAGGTATATCATTTAGAGTTTTAAATATTTAAAAGCGGTAGTTTATAAATATATATCTGAAATTGATGAAGTCAACATTTGATATATCATTTTATCTTACCTCCTATACATTTCTAGGAGTATGATTGGTTAAAAGCGACCGCGTGGAGACCGTGTATATTTCATATGGGGTTAGTAGGCGTGGTTTATTTCAATACACGGCTAGTAGTGAAGTTACGTCCCTTTATAAAAACAACACGGTGTTGAGGAAAAATCTGAAAGGTTTTAACAGACGAAGAAATTGATGATGAACTATTGAAATAAATTCATAAAAACACATTAAAAGTTTTGTATAGACCAATGGAAGTAGGTTCTTAATATTGAAGACTTGATCACTTTGATAGGCCACTAGTCTAAATATCACATACAGGACGCATATATTAAATATATTGAAAATATGTCGACGGGTGTACGCATTCCGCAATTGAATTAACATAGCAGAATTATAATGGTTAACGAGTTTGTATGAACAATATTGACAAGAAATACGAAGTCAGCTTCAGCGTTAAGACCAGAGTGATAAGTTAATTAAGATAGTCGAGATGTCCATATAACATCCGTGTCTCGACAAGCCAAGCTGTAATTGATTTTAGATACTGAAGTAACTATTAATTTGTACCATAAGTGGTCATTGAGAATCTGTAAATATCGACCTTGAAAGTGAAATTGTATATTGTTTACGATAAAAGAATTGAAAAGAAGAACATTTCTAAAGTATGATATTGAAAATGTTCTTCCCTAATGTATAAAA